TGACAAAACAAACAACCCAGTTAAAAAATGGTCAAAAGACTTAAACGAACATTTTTCTTTTTTTTCAAGATTTATTTATTTGAAAGTCAGAGTTACACAGAGAGAAGAGGGCGGGGGGAGAGAGAGAGAGATCTTCATCCAATGGTTCACTTCCCAATTGGCCACAATAGCCGGAGCTGTGCCAATCCAAAGCCAGGAGCCAGGAGCTTCTTCCAGGTCTCCCACATGAGTGCAGGGGCCCAAGTACTTGGACCATCTTCTAGTGCTTTCCCAGGTCATATCAGAGACCTGGATTGAAAGAGGAGTGGCAGGGTCATGACCTGGCACCCATATAGGATGCCTGTGCTTCAGGCCAGGGTGTTAACCCACTGTGCCACAGTACCAGCCTCCGTTTTTCAAAAGAGGAAATCCAAATTGCCAACAGACACATGAAAAATCCTCAGTATCACTAGCTGTCAGGTTAATAGAAATCAAAACCACAAGGAGGTTTTATCTCAGCCCCATTAGAATGGTTTTCATACAAAACCCAACAAACAACATATGCTAGTGAGGATTTGTGGGAAAAGGTACTCTAATCCACTCTTGGTGGGAATGTAAACTGGTAAAGCCACTATGGAAGACAGTATGAAAATAACTCAGAAATATGAATATAGACTTTCCATATGACCCAGCTATCCCACTCCTAGGAATTTAACCAAGGGAAATGAAATCAGCAGTTGAAAGAGTTATCGTACCCCAATATTTATTGAAACTCAATTCACAATAGCAAAGAAATGGAATCAACACAAATGCTTGACAAAGACTGGATAAAGAAATTAAGGAGTTATGTACACTATGGAATACTACACAGAAGTAAAATAAATGAAATCTGGAAGTTTGCATCAAAATGGATGAATCTTGGAAACACCATAATTAGTGAAACAAACCAGAACCAAAGGGAAAAATACCATATGTTCTCCCTGATCCACGATAACTAACAGAGTACCTAGAAGGCAATCTGCACAAGTGAAATTGACACTATGAAAAGCAAAGGCTCTGAACAGCCCTTGTCTCTAGTGCTGAGGAACACTATTTTCTTTTTTTTTCTATTTGCTGAACTCTTCTCTTAACATAGAGTTAATCATATATGTATAAAGTTAAATTAAAATATATCCTAGTCAAAAATAAAAGAGGGAATAAGAGAGGGAGGAGGAAGAGGGGTGGGGATGTGGGTGGCAGGACAGGCAGAGTGGAAAGAATCACCATGTTCCTAAAGTCATAATTATGAAGTGTATGAAGTTTGTAACTGCAAAGCTGCATAATTCTGTATACATTACCACAGATTTATTTCTAAGGGTATAGTTTAAAAATTTGACATGACACCCCAAGTCCTCTTGTGCTAAGAGGGAAAATAGCATTTTAAGTGTTAAAGTGATATCAATAGGATTAATAGGTAAAAAATAATAGAATTAAAAAGGAGTAAGGGCTCCAACATGGGAAGCAGTCCAGACAGAAGACTCATAGAATGGCAATCAATATAAGTAGCACTCTGACCTTAGAATCAGCCCTTAAGTCATGCTTGTCTGGCTGAAAGACCATGAGAGCATTTCAGGCACAGAAAGCCAAGACTCTGTGGCAAAAAGTTTCTTACATGAAGGACCATCTATGCTTGAGAGTGCAGTGGAAAGAAGTGATCATTAAAGGAGGTACTTCTCTCTGAAGTTAGGAGAGAACTTACACTTTGCTTATGCCTTTGTCTAAATACTGACAGACTGTGTGGATTCAAAAGACTTCCATAGCTGAGGCAGTTCATGTCAAGAGCCCCAGGTGATCACTGAGGTCATATTTACGAGTGTTAATTGTTTGGGCTTGTGCCATGGTGCAGTAGGTTAATCCTCCACCTGTGGCGCCAGCATCCCATATGGGCACCGGTTCTAGTCCCAGCTGCTCTTCTTCCAATCCAGCTCTCTGCTATGGCCTGGGAAAGCAGTAGAGGATAGCCCAAGTCCTTGGGCCCTGGCACCCACATGAGAGACCGGGAGAGAGTACCTGGCTCCTGACTTAAGATTGGCACAGCTCCAGTTGTTGCAGTAATTGGGGAGTGAACCAACAGATGGAAGACCTTTCTGTCTCTCCCTCTCACTGTCTGTAACTCTAACTCTCAAATAAAATCTTTTTGAAAAGAGTGTTGATTGTTAAATTAACAGGAGTCACTGTGCACTAACTTCCCATGCAGGAATTCTGTCCTCGAAGAGCTGTATTAGGGAAGTTAGTAATAAAACTTACTTTCAAAGATTTACTCCATATTAGCATATTAAGTTGAGAATATACTTATGTATCTTATAATTTAGGCCAATGTGTACAGCTCCACTGCTTGTTTTTATAGGTGCTTCATTAAAAAACAGCAAAATTGTTCCCAAAGACTTATTTTCTATAGTGTATTTTTTTTTTATTTTTGACAGGCATAGTGGACAGTGAGAGAGAGACAGAAAGGTCTTCCTTTTCCATTGGCTCACCCCCCAATGGCCACTAAGGCCGGTGCACCACTGTGATCTGAAGCCAGGAGCCAGGTCCTTGTCCTGGTCTCCCCTGTGGGTGCAGGGCCCAAAGAACTGGGCCAAACTCCACTGCATTCCTGGGCCAGAGCAGAGAGCTGGACTGGAAGAGGAGCAACTGGGACAGAATCTGGCGCCCCAATTGGGACTAGAACCCAGTGTGCCAGTGCTGCAGGTGGAGGATTAGCCTAGTCAGCTACGGTGCCAGCCTCTATAAGGTATTAAATAAAGGATATTCTTACATCTCATAACCTACTGCTATGTCTGAGTGCTCCCAAAAGATGTTATCATGCTTTTTTGGCTTTTTAATTTTTTTAATAAAAGTTCACTATGCTTTATTATATATAAAATTATATCAATATTTTTATGTTTACACATAAAATACAAATATTTAATTTTGATTTCTGTCTAATGCTAAACACAAATACATGCATATACATCTATAAGCACATGTATATATATATATATGGAGGTTTCAAAATATTCATAAAAAATTCACATTGTTAGTGACATGTTTCCAAGAACTCTCTGAAGTCCTCTCAAGCATACATTAATGTACATTTTTTACATTTATATAGTAATGAACAACATAAAATCATTCAAATGTTAAGATATAACATAAAAAGCTAAGTACAAATTAAAATGTTTTAAACTCACTGTGTAAATATTACTCTTTACTCCAAATTCCTCTAGAAGAACTCCTTTTTATTGGACTCAAATACTGAAGAGTTCCCATATTCACACATTTGCGCCACAATTTTTATAGCTGTTGATTGTGTCATCATGGATGACAGTATTTATTGGTGAAAATTTATTAAAAGAACACATAATGATTATAAGAATAACTATTCACTTAGGCAATAAAATATTTCTCTTTTTTATTAAACTTTTATTTAGTAAATATAATTTTCCAAAGTACATTTTATGGATTACAATGTCTTTTGCACCCCCAATAACTTCCTTCCCACCTGCACCCCTCCCATCTCCCGCTCCCTCTCCCATTCCATTCACATTAAGATTCATTTTCAATTATCTTTATATACAGAAGATTGATTTAGTATATATTAAGTAAAGATTTCATCAGTTTGCACCCACATAGAACATAAAGTGTAAAATACTGTTTGAGTACTTGTTATAGCATTATTTTACATTGGACAACACATTAAGGACAGAGATACCACATGAGGAGTAAGTACACAGTGACTCCTGTTGTTGACTTAACAATGTGACACTCATGTTTATGGCGTCAGATACCTCCCTAGGCTCTAGGCATGAGTTACCAAGTCTATGGAAACCTCTTGAGTTCGCTGTCTTTGATCTTATTTAGACAAGGTCATAGTCAAAGTGGAAGTTCTCTCCTCCCTTCAGAGAAAGGTACCTCCTTCTTTGATGGCCCATTCTTTCCGCTGGGATCTCACTCGCATAGATCATTCATTTAGGTGTTTTTTTTTTTTTTTTTTTTTTTTTTTTTTTTTTGCCAGAGTGTCTTGGCTTTCCATGCCTAAAATACTCTCATGGGCTCTTCAGCCAGATCCAAATGCCTACATTTCATTTTGGTTGCCCTTTAACCTAGATTTTTTAACCATATTTCCATGGGTAAATTCAATTCTAAACTCTTTCCACCTCAGCTTTCTCTTTGCAAATTGATAATACTGTCTCCAGAATTAACCTAAGGTATAATTGATACAAAGTAAGGCATTTACTCTGTTAATCTGGCCCCTAGAAGATACTTGGCAATGTTAGTCCTGTATCCAGTTTTTCTTTTCTTTTCTTTTTCTTTTTTTTTTTTTTTTTTGTACTTGGTGAATTAGAGGGTGGTGTAAAATAATTTGAAAAAAAAAATAAACATCAACAAGACACAAATAAAAATTAAACTATGCTGTGTACACCTGTGCTGAGAGTTACATTGAAATCCTTGTCATTCATTACTTGAGAGAAGCTGTCCAGGAATAAAGCAGCAGGGGGATTTTTCTGAGGGAAGCAGTTTGTGTGAGGGAACCGGGATTTGGGACTCAGCAGCAGTGGCTCTCACTTCTTAAGATTTTGTTCAAGAAAGCAAGAACAGCACCTGACCCTTGAGATCTGTGGGGGAAGGAAGGGAAGGAGGGATGGAAACAAAAGCAAATGCCCTCTGGTTCCCAGCATGTCTCCACCCACCCCACACTGAAGCCCTAGGAGAGGGCCAGTAAGTCTATCTAGGAATGCCCTGGCCTGGACTCCATTTCCTAGAGTCACCCGGTACTCTAATGCTTTTTGTGCTCTGAACACCTGTGCATGTGAATGTGGGAGAACATGCGCATGCGCGTGCCTTTCCCCATGGCTCCGGGTTGGGAACAGATGAAGTTCATTTACTGATCAGAGAGGGCCCTGAGAGGGTGCGCTGCTCCTTCTCCCACATTCACTGGGGAGTCTTGCTCTGCAAGTGCAATTGCAGGCAGTTGGGGAGCACACACCCGCCCACTGCTTCTGTGCCTCTGCATCTGCCACCGTGGGTCCCAAGTTCCAGCGACTTCTCCTGTCCCACACTCTCTGCTTTGCTCCCTGTGTGTCCTGAAGAAAGGGGACGTGCTCCCGAGATTTTCCACGGCAAGTATGCAGAACAGGAAGGGGCATCTATGCGTGTATGGGAGAGGGGAGGGTGCGCTGGTGGGAGGTGGCTCCCAGACATTGATCAGCTCTCAGTGATCCTGGGAGCTTCTCCAGCAGAGTCAAGGCTGGGGCCCAGGTGTTGTGTCTCCCACCACCGCTTCCCAGTCTCTCAACACTCGGCCAGTTTTATGGGCTGCCAGGCTCAACGGCACAAACAGGGCAGTTGAGAGCCTGGGGAAGGAAGAAGTCCCATTCCCTACATTTAAATAAGCCCAGTTCTTATTTAGGGTGGGTCAGAGAATGCCTTGTGGCTGGGCCTCCGGCTATATCCCCTGGTAGTTCCAGCTGGGCGGGGCTCAGTGGCCCTCAGCTGGGAGCCCGAGGCAGTGGAGAGGTGGAGATGGAAGATTAGAGTAGGATCTGGCTCATGGCCCCCATGCTGGACCCTGTGGACACATCTGACAGCTGGGGCGCTATGTGTTTGGCTGTATTTCCCAGCAGCAATGTGAAGCTTGTGCAGTAGCTTAGTAGATTGATCTCTCCTCCGTGTTTAATTAACAGACTTTCAATCTGGAGCTTGAGGCCATGGAAATGTAGCTGATTTATTTTCCTGCTTTTCGATTTCTGTCTTCACCCCTTTTTTCTTATGTTATTAGGGATGTCAACTATTATTACCTGCTGCTAACCCCTTTGTAAAGTGAGAAGTGAACTGAAATTAATGCAAGTCTACCGTGTGAGTTAATAATGAGCTGCTTTAAAATGGATTTTCATAAAGTGGAGAGCTATGAAAACATAAATACAGAAAAGTAGCAATTTTTCTCTTCTAGTTCTTTACAGTCACTCAATGCTCCACCAAGCTGATTATCTTATAGTCCATATGGTTTTAACTAAGAGGGTCAGTTACTTTATAAAATTTTTTTTATTTATTTGAAAGGCAGAGTTGCAGAGAGGCAAAGGCACAGAGAGGTCTCCCATCTGCTGGTTCACTCCCTGGATGGTCACAATGGCCAGAACTGCATGGAAGTCAGGAGCCAGGAACTTCTTCCAAGTCTCCCACACAGATGCAGAGGACCAAGCATTTGGGCCATCTTCCACTGTTTTCCCAGGCCATAGCAGAGAGCTGGATCAGAAAGTGCAGCAGCCAGGTCTCGAACCAGCACCCTTATGGTTTTACCCGCTCAGCCACAACACCAGCTTCAAATTACTTTTCTTATTCTGAGTTTTGTGTTTAATCTATGACATTTTCAACATGGGAGGATATTAGTGACAGATTTTCATAATGACTGTGGTCTGTGGAAGCCTTTGTACAGGTGTTAATGTGAAGACGGGTAAGGAAGAAAAGAGAAAATATGCTCCCCTCCCCCCACAGAGATGCACACACAATACAGTAAAAGATGTGGCTTTGGGCTGGCACTGTGGCTCAGTAGGTTAATCCTCTGCCTGTGGTGCCAGCGTCCCATATCGGCACCCGTTTTAGTCCCAGCTGCTCCTACTCTGATCCAGCTCACTACTATGGCCTGGGAAGGCAGTAGAAGATGGCCCAAGTGCTTGGGCCTCTGCACCCATGTAGGAGACCCAGAAGAAGCTCCTGCCTCCTGGCTTTAGATCAGTGCAGTTCTTCTGGCCATTTTGGCCAACTGGGGAGTGAACCAGCAGAAGGAGGACCTTTCTGTCTGTTTCACTATCTGTAACTCTACCTCTCAAATAAATAAATAAAACATTTTTTTTTAAAAAAAAGAGAGATGTGGCCCTAAAAACTATTGCTATAGACTTTCAATATAATGAAGTTTTCACTGGGTTAACTGAGTGATTCATAGATTCCATTACAGTCCTGTTGTCACCAGATTACTAATTTGTGAAACTCATTTAGCATAGTAAGGTTACCTAGGAAGTAAAAATAGAAAGGGACTCCTGGATAGAGGTTGCTAGGGTGACAGCATTCTTCCTCTCAAACCCAGTGTGTTTTTTACCTTTTCTCGCATGTACTCCCTATCACAGTGCTTGTGAGTGGACAAGCAGTGATGTGTTTCTGCTGAAAAGAGCTACTTCACACCCAGGAAACAACTGTAAGACACTTTCTCAGCAACTATGTTGTGTGTACATTAATACGAACTTGAAAACAGCCAAGAACAGGATTCCTGGACTATTCAGGATAACTGTCTGTTTGGCACATCATTCCCTGCTCTGCTATATGTTTCTGGCAAGTTCTTTAAAATTTTTAGGAGAGATATGTTTCATATGAGAGACATAATCTGGTAATGAGGCAGTGATGTCTTTAAGAAAAGGTGCCATGTGAGGAAGCAGTCTGATGGTGTCCATTCATCTTCCCATTTTTTTTTTCTGACAGGCAGAGTTAGACAGTGAGAGAGAGAGAGACAGACAGAAAGGTCTTCCTTCCATTGGTTCATCCCCCAAATGGCCACTACAGCTTGCATGCTGCACCAATCTGAAGCTGGGAGCCATGTGCTTCTCCTGGTCTCCCATGCTGGTGCAGGGCCCAAGCACTTGGGCCATCCTCCACTGTCTTCCCAGGCCACAGCAGAGAGCTGGACTGGAAGAAGAGCAACTGGGACAGGACTGGTGCCCCAACTAGGACTAGAACCTGGAGTACTGGCACCACAGGTGGAGGATTAGCCTAGTGAGCCATGGCACCAACCCATTCATCTTCCCATTAATAACTTTCATTGATGTCTACCACAGGGTGGCAGAAGGCAATCCTCCTTCTGAATTGCATCAAGCCAGGAGGATTCATCTACAGTTTATCTGAGTTTTCTTTGTATGAGGGAATAACCAAAATACTACATTGTATACAGTGTATTTTCTTTTAGATTCATTTTATTTACTTGAAAGCCAGATTTACAAAGACATTGAAAGAGAGGTCTTCCATCCATTGCTTCACTCCTCAAATGGCCACAGTGACTTGGGCTGGGCCAGGTGAACCCAGGAGCTAGGAGCTTCTTCTGGTTCTCACACTTCATTTCAGGGACCCAAACACTTGGGCCATCATCCTCTGCTTTCCCAGGTGAATTAGTAGGGAGCTATATTGGAAATGGAGCAGCCAGGTCTTGAACCAGTGCCCATGTGGGGTGCTGGCACTGCCAGGGTCTGCTTAACCTACTATACCAGTCCCATGTGCATTTTTTCAATAGGGGGAGGGGTTAATTTTTTTCTAATATGACTCTCAAAGATTATAATGTGTAGTAGATGATGATTTTGGTTATATTTTGAGTTTCATTAAATTTCTATATTTTTAAGTTAATGAGTACTAGTAGTTATTTTTTTAAAGATTTATTTATTTTACTTGAAAGTGAGAGTTACACACAGAGTGGAGGAGAGGCAGAGAGAGAGAAGTCTTCATCTGCTGATTCACTCTCCAATTGGCTGCAGTGGTCGCAGCTGTGCTGATCCAAAGCCAGGAGCAGGAGCTTTTTCTGTGTAGTAGTTATCTTATGTTATCCTTGCTTTGGATAAACAAACTCTCTGCCATCCATTTAAAATGCTTTTTAAAATAGGTTTATTTTGAGGACTGGCACTGTGGCATGGCAGGTGAGGCTGCCACCTACAGTGCTGTCATCCCGTGTGGGTGCTTGTTTGAGATCCAGCTTCCTGCCATGGCCTGGGAAAGCAGTGGAAGATGGCCCAAGTTCTTGGGTTCTGCACCGCATGGGAGACCTGACAGGAGCTTCTGGCTCCTGGCTTTAGATAAATCCAGCTCTGGCCATTGCAGCCATTTTCTTTTTCTTTTTTCTTTTTCTTTTTTTTTTTTTTTGAACTTTTATTTAATGGATATATATTTCCAAAGTACAGCTTATGGGCTACAATGGCTTTCTCCCACAATGACTTCCCTCCCACCCGGAACCCTCCACTATCCCTCTCTCCCCTTCCATTCACATCAAGATTCATTTTCAATTCTCTTTATATGCAGAAGATAAATTTAGTATACATTAAGTAAGTATTTCAACAGTTTGCACCCACATAGAAACACAAACTGAAAAATAGTGTTTGAGCATTAGTTATAGTATTAAATCTCAATGTACAGCACATTAAGGACAGAGATCCTACATGAGGAGTAAGTGCACAGTGACTCCTGTTGTTGACTTAACAAATTGACACTCTTGTTTATGGCATCAGTAATCTCCCTATGCTCCAGTCATGAGTTTCAAAGGCTATGGAAGGCTTTTGAGTTCTCTGACTCTTATCTTATTTAGACAAGGTCATAGTCAAAGTGGAAGTTCTCTCCTCCCTTCAGAGAAAGGTACCTCCTTCTTTGAAGACCCATTCTTTCCACTGGGATCTCACTCCCTGAGATCTTTCATTTAGGTTTTTTTTTTTTTTTGCCAGAGTGTCTTGGCTTTCCATCATTGCAGCCATTTTCAGAGTGAATCAGTTCATGGAAGACCACTATCTTTGCCTCTGCCTCCCTGTAACTCTGCCTTTTAAATAAATAAATAAATTTTTACATGCTACACCACTGTGCTTGCCCCAAGACCTAACAGGGTTTCTGGGTGCTTATCCTGGGGTTCACTTTCAGCACTAAGCACAGTTATTCTGTGTGACTGAATAGTTCATGTTCCTTCTTATGGAAAAGTTTTTCTCATGTTCTGAGTGATTGGGCTACATATGCCCATAGTGGAAACTAAAACTTAATTTGGCATTTGAACACCCAGAGTACTGATTCCTGTAATCTTCTGAATTTAATCAGAAAATGTGTTTTGAAACATTTGGTCTATGGGTAGGCAGGGCAGTTTTCCTGGATCCCTGTGAGAATTGATGAACTGATGGTGTTTTTCTACCCCACATTATATTCTGAAATTTACTTCCTTTTATTTTCTTAAAATAACTATATTTGTAATTTGCTTCCCCTTCTGAAGTGTTTGTGCTTCTGTCCTCCTTATAACCATGCACATTAATAGCCCTTTTCCTTCCCTTTATGATACTACAAGAATAATAGAACATTGCAGCTCTCTCCCCTGGCAGCACATCTCCCTCAGTACGTC